CCTCCCTGTTTTGCCACTCACACCACTGGTCCTATAGGGCTCATCCGTCCTGGATTCCCTGTATTTTCAGTTCCTATCTGTACCAGTGTATCTTTTCACCTTTTTTTGGGAGGAAAAGTAACTTCAAAAATATTTACTAGACTTGATGGCTATGTGAGTCACAGCTCAATCCCACCATCGTATGACCTTATACACTTAATTTAACCCAAGTGCTTCTTTATTTTTTATTCTGTAAAATATGTTGATCTTTAGGTTAAAGATTTTAAAGGTCTCATCCTGATCTACATTTTAGAGTTCCTCTTACAAAAATACAGCTGGGTAAAACAAGGTATGCAAAATAAGCTAAATATTTTTTTTTTTAAGCAGTAAGCAAAGTCTACTGAAATATCTAATACTTTTAATTTGATATTAGAATTTTGGGTGTTCTCAATATGAGAACTGAAAAAAAGTTAGATTTTAGAGGCATTTAGAAGAAAAATGCCTTTTACTGAGAAAAATTAAGACCCCTAACCTCCTAAATTAATAGTTTAACTATGTTTTATGAAAAAGAAAAAGGGGTATTATTTCTTTTTTAATATAAGTTGAAAGACACACATTTCTCAAAAAGCTCTAGAGTAATAAGTAGAAAGCACTTGCATTCCATTATTTTATTGTAGGCATCTACTGTAGATGTGATAGTAATATTTATATAACATTAATACTGGATGTCTGTCTCTATTTTTACAACTGATGTATTTACTAAATAAATAGCACTGCAAAAGATATGGATTTAGCCTCATGACTTTCAAAGGATTGCACACTTCAAGTATTAGAACTTATTTTCCAAGTTTTAACTTATATTTACTTCTAAACTCTTACACAATGTGCTCATTTTGTTCATAAATATCATCTCAATACAACAACATCAGGTATAATACATAAAATCTAATCCATTAAGTCTTACCAATTTATGACCTGATGAGACACTCTTGTGGACAACATTCAGTCCTTAGAAGCTAGAATAACCCTCCAACCATGTGAGGGCATCACAACTTTTAAACTTTCGGCTTTCGATCATTATTATGTCACATTCCTCCTCCGATGCTGAATTCTAAAAAAAATTCTAGCAAAGAGTTTAAGTAAATAAGTGTTTTAATCAAATAGCCTTTAAAAAATTTTTTATTAGCAAAATTTTATGTTTTACAATGATTACACAATTGTTATTTTGTACGTATTTTTTAAAATGTAGAATATTTTCATATATGATCTGGATAGTTGAAATCTCAACACGGACTTTCAGCCATTACAAATAGTAGATCATCAAGTAGAAGGAATCAATTAAAAGTTTAAAATCACGATCCAGAAATGACGATGTAACACCATAACCTGTTTTGCGTCTGCAGAATGGCATTTTGAGTTCTACAGTTTGTCCAGCATTCCTATGGGACTTAGAGCACAGGTACCTGGATCAGTAGCAATCTATACTGATCATTTAAATGTTGAATATAGCCTAGAATTTTTATAACTGTATCTTAGTTCAATTGTTCCCCTCCAATTTTAAAAGCAGAAAGCATGATGGCAAGAGTAAAATTTTAGATATAATACTGTACTTTACTCAACCATGGGCCTACTGCTCATCTATGTACAGGCATTAAAAAACATGGAGGTTAGAGAGTTAATGACAAAATTTTCACTGAGAATATTTAAAATTTATTAACTTTTTACAAAAGGTGTTCGTTCAGCTGGGATTTTAATCTCTATGGGTTATGTATTTAAGAATGTCTACTATCTCTTAGGAATCCATATTTATATTTTCAGTTGCCAGTATTTCACAAAAAATGGCAACCTTGTATACTTGTAGGTATATTTTTGCTTAAATTTAATTTTCTTAATTAATTCCATAATGAGGAAAGGGGGAGGAGTAAAGATGTCCATTCTTGCAGAAGATGAATTGTATGCGTGTATAAAACTATAGAAAATTTAATTGACAGCATTATTAAGGAAACTGCAGTTATCTCCAGAGATTTGACCAGAATGTAGGGGGGGTCTTAGGCTGTACAGATTCTAACTTTTAATGTATTTTTTTAATTACCTGAGGTCATTTGAGCCTCCCACACAATCACAAAAACGACTTGGATTTTTCCAATTACAAATATAACTTTTCCAAATGTAAGTTCACAACACATTTGACTTCAATAAAACCATTTAATGTCACTTTGATAACGTATTCAATCACCTGGTGAAGGTAAAATTCCATATTTATGAGAACAAGCAATAGTTTAAAGCTGTGGTCACTTCATCAACACATCACCAATGTTTTTAGAAAGTTTCTGCAACTGTTTCTTATTAACCAAAATACTGCAGTAATTTAAAAACAGCTTAATTTGACGCTTTATTCATTTGTGGGACAAGCCCCAAGAGAAGATCAATTATCTAGTTAAACTGAGTAAGGGGCCATACATACTCGAGTATAAGCCAACCCAAATATCAGCCGAGGCACCTAATTTTACCACAAAAACGGCATAAAAAATATGCCAAAAAACTCAACCTATACACTAGTATATATGGTTAATACTTCCTGATATGTATAGATATAATATGTATCTATATGTCCATATAGATATGCTTGCCTGTAAGGCTTAGGTGTCTTGTTCATTTAAAGGGCCTGTCAACAAAAAATTACTGTTATAGAAATGCCTAGAAAGCCTTTGGAAGGTAAAATCTAAGCAAAATTTATTTTACAATGAAACTTAATGAAAAACAGAGTGTAAGCCTCATCAAAACCCACAGTAAATGTAGGTGCTGATTTGGGAGTTGTCTACACTTAAAAAAATGTGATGTGACTAAATCATTTATTCCTTAGCAAGGATTTTCAAAATAGTTTACTATCAAGTACAAGACTCACATTTGAAGAGTTACATTAATTTTCAGGATGTAGAAAAATCCTTATTAAAAACATAAAAGTAAGTAACAGAAATGTTTATGGGTTAATATAATTAAGATGAATCAGATCCTATTAAAATTCTATTTTAAAAATAACATTTTTACTCAAAGAGTATTTAACTTAGAAATCAATACTAATATATCCATCATAATCTTGATTTTATGTAAGATCACTATCCTGGACATTTTCTGTAGCAATGTTTGTCATTTATTTATTTGTGAGGAGGAAAATCTCATTTCACTAAAAATGTGCTATTCCAAGTTCTTATAGTACTAGTAAGAGACATGTGTTTACTATCATTTAGCTAAAAAGGTATATGATTTTCGACTTCCAAGTAATTAAATAGATACGCTGAATAAAATAAATCTTATTTCAAACCCTATTCCTTAAGGAATCCACTACTTAATACAAAACAAATTTATGTAAGTATAAGCCTCGGTTCTTTTAAAGTACTCTAAAAATACTCTAAGATTATATTCTAGTTTAGTCACATTTTTACTTTATTTTCGAAAAGCCCCACTACATTGTTTTGGGAAATTTTTGGCACAACAAACCAATGCTTGTGCTAGGAATACTTATTCTTCAACAGTGAAAGCTCGTGGGGAGGGTATAGGGTAAGCCCAAGTACTCCCAATAAATGATATGTACAGTCTTTCCATAGATTATATATTGGGAAAATAGGGCTAAAAATAGCAGACATATGGGGAAAAAAACAGTCCATATGTACCGTTGTAGAATACGGACACTGGTAAGACAATACTGTTCCAGTAGTTCGCATATAAAGACACAAATTACTGGACATTCACCTGCTTATGGCTGATCAAATTATACATGGGGCTTCAAAATGTTTGTGGAAAAGAAATATTAAAAAATAATGGAAATTTCTCTACCAACTTTTTGAAGCCCCTATGTATTTCAAGAAATCAGCTATGTTAAACACTACAATTTTAAGCAGGCTTTTTACATGGTATGCATTTTATCAAATGCACTGTTGGTAGATGATAAGCAAATACATAAAGAACTTCAATAATAGAGCTCTGAAAAATGTCAGTGGCATTTTTAGAAGATCGTGTTCATCCACAAGTGATTTATACTTCTTGTCCTTTCAAAAGGAGCCCTGGTGGTGTTATCTGATAAGTGCAAGGTCAGCAGTTGATGAGGCTGTCTGCTAGAAACCGTACATAGGGTGGATATGTATCAGAATTGACTAAATGGTAGCTTGTTAGAAACAGCTTATAAAGAATACAGAAAAGAAGAAAAATTGAAGTTGGGGGTGGTAGAGGAAGTACACATGGAAAAAGAGAGTAGAGGCCAGTTATACTACACAAATTTCTGCCAGTAAAGATCTGCACATTTTTCCAGCAAAAGGCTGCACATATGACTTTGAGTATAATAAGAAAACCCAACATAAAGGAAGTACAACTGTTTCAAAAATTTAAGACATCACATATTATGCTTTTGAGTCAATATCTCATTTCTTAAAGTATGACCATCCTAGAAAAATATCCAGCAACACTATTTCTGGACTGCATCAGCAATACGTAAAATAGCTGCTATAAATACACAATTATCTGAAGAACCATGGTTAATTCCCTTCAGTAGTGTGGAAGACTAGGGAAAGTCTATTTTCTTTATCTTGGTATTGCTTAGCAGATAAATGAAAAACAGGATGAAAGTCATAAAGGTTGTGTGTGAATACCTCTGCTGCCAGCAGAAAACAGCTAATGACCGCAGATAGCTTCAATAGGACCAATACTGAAAAATTCTTACAGATATCAATTTGTAGCTTTAGGTAACTTTGTGGAACATGATAGTCATGCTGCCTGCAACCATGTTTTCTTGAGGACACCAGTCTACATAAGGGGTCAAATATTACCGAACTAAAACTGAAAATACGTAAAATTATTGTAGTATTTATAATTAAGAACTCTAAACTTAGAAAACAAGAAATGAACTGGCACTATGTGACAGTTTGAGGCTATTTATCAATATACATTATACGGATTATCTCGTTGGCTACCATAGAGTTGACTCTGACTGAGAGACACCATGTACAATAACATGTTCTGTCATATTAGAGCAAAGTTGGTAGTTTTCAAACTCCTCCAGGATGAGGCTATCTGCGCCCATAGTTACAGCCTTGGGAATCCTATAGAGGCTTGGTATGAGTCTGAATCAACACGAAGACAATAGGATTTTTTTATATCATATAAATCTAATATATTCCTTAGAATAATTTGGAATATTCATACACACGCAAACACAAAGTAAGATTGTCAGCTAGAATACAAATAGTTCTTTTCTCACTATCTACTTATACAATACCAAATCTTAATGAAAAAGTCATTCTACTGGTATTTCATATTTTTCTCTTCAATTTTATCAAATTACCTCCAAGTTTGCAATTTTTTAAAAATAGTTCAACACTGCCCTTTTTCTTTGGTTAGGTGATCCCATTCTCAGAATGCTCTGACTGCCTCATTCCCTCGAGACTTTCTCTTATTCCCAAAATGTAGCGGTTATCAACCCAAGGCCCTGGGGCTTGTTGACCCATTTACCCTACTCTCTCTCCCCTTAGCATCCATCCTCAGGCCTTTCCAAAATTTGAACTCTTAACAAAAAACAAAACATCTTCAACGGCTTCTAGTCTTTAACTGCTCTACTAAACTCCACATCTGGGCAGGGGAAGTGAGCTGGTCATTTATCGCAGAGCTAAAACTTATTAACACTTTTTAAAAGATAACAGAGGCCAAGAGACTGAGTACCAGAGAGATGTACTTCCAGGAAGTGCTATGATTATGCTGTTCCGATTGAAGATCTAAATTCTGTATTATTTCTGACTCAGAATAATAATGTGCTACTTTGTTATGAAAAAATGAATAAATAAACTGCAGATCTGTAGCTACACTCTATTTCGACCTGGCTTCCTACAAGCTCCAACTCATCACCATCTTTTCCTTCCAAAAAAGACCTGTTCAAAAAGTGAGTGAAAGGAGACATCGGACAGTGTAAGACGGGACAAAATAATAATTTATAAATTATCAAGGGTTCTTGAAGGAGGGGAGGGGGGAGGGGAAAACATGAGGAGCTGATACCAAGGGATCAAGTAGAAAGAAAATGCTTTGAGGATGAAGGCAACAAATGTACAAATGTGCTTGACACACAGATGTATGTATGGA